TCCCCCTCATGCAGTCATGGGGTGGCTTCTAGAGTTTGTGAATAATTCTTGATTCAATGCTGGGATTATAGATGTGAGTGCTACCCCTGCCCTAGACAGATAATCTGCATACAAAGGTAAGGAGGGGAGAGAGGCTTGCTAGCTGCAATAGCTGCTGCCCCTCCCTTTGCTCTTTGTTGTTTTCCACTGCCATAAAAGTCTGCCCTCTGCCATGTGTTGCTCCACCTTGGAGCCAGCTGAGTATGGACTGAAACATTCACTAACTGTGAGCTAAATAAAACTTTCCTTCCTTAATTTTGGGTGTTGGGTATTTTGTCCCAGCAAAGAGAGAAATGTAACTGAGGCAATAGGTAAATGCATTCACCTTGAGATCAAACTCTTTAATGAAATAAATCAAGCATGCAGGTGTAAATATCACATTGTTTCTCTCATGTGAAAAACCAGAAGTGCAAATTAAGACCACAGTATATAATAGATTATTAAAAATAGGAAGAAAATGATTAATTGGAAAAGGGGACTAGGAAAGGGTTGGGATAAAGGAAAGAAGGGAAAAGAGAAAAAAAAGAAAAAATGGATATAATGTTTTTGTTACTAAGGAAAGAAAGTGGGATTGAAGAGAAGATAGAAAATTGGGGAAAAAGGAGAATTTAAGATATATTACATACAGGCACATAGTCCGTAAGGTGAATGTCATCATTATGTATGGCTGTATACTTAAAATGTACTAATAGGGCCAGCAAGATAGCTCAATGGATTAAGCACGGGCTTTGGCAAGTTCAGGGACCAGGGTTCGATCCCCGGTCCTGCATGCCATGCCAGCTCCTCCCCCAGGTGCACTGAGCCAGTGACAGAGTCTGGGCATGGTGGCGCATATCTGTAATCCTGGTGCTGGGAAGACTGAAAACAGGAAGATCACAAGTCCAGTCTGTGTACTGAGACCCTGTATCAAATACACAAAAATGCACTAATAAAGTTAATTAACAAAAACATTTTTAGAAGGTCTATGTCTAGACTAAATATTATTTATTATTAATCTAAAGTTTAAATTGAACTGGATATACTTTATTTTTTGATTGCTAAATGTGATACCTAGTCTTCTTTTTTTTTTCTTTTAAATATGTTCTATGTTCTCCGAACCAGCTGCCCCAATGTGTCCTGAGCTTAAAACCCTTCTAGCTCAGCCCTTCAGAGTGCTGGAATTATAGGCACCTACCACCTTTCCTGGCAGTGTGGGTTGTCTTCTTACTTTTTGGTGGTTTCTTTTAAAGCACAAAATTTGGTGAAATCCTATTTATATACTTTTCCTTTTGTGGTTTGTGCCTTCCATGTTGTAACTACAAAGACTTTCCTTTGCCTGAGATCAAAAAGGCTTACTCCTAAAATTTACTTGTAAAAGGTTTTGAATTTAGCTCTTAACTTTTTCCCTAAGGTAAAGAAAGGCACAAACTGTTAAAATGAGGAATTAAAATGAGGGGTATTTGCACTGTATAAATATTATTTTCATACTAATAGAACCCTTCTTATTCCAGAAGGTCTCAGTTATTTTTCCTCATTGCTAACAGAAAATACCCAACATCCAAAGTTCAAAAAGGTTTGTTCAGCTCTTGGTTTGTATAGGTTTTAGTCCATAATCAACTGGATCTAAGGTAGTGTAGCACACTGCAGAAGGACAAGAGCACACGCCAGTGGAAGACTTCAAAAGCAACAGGAGCAAAAGGGCCAGCAAGCCTCTTTCTTTCTGTTCCTTTTATCCTATCCAGACTTTTGGGATCAGGGTGGTGCCAATCCAGTCAGCGGATTGATCTAGCAATCACCCACCATTAACCCCCTTACTCTTAATTCTATCATTTTTTTTAAATATTTATTTATTTTTATTTATTACATTTATTTATTGTGTGTGTGTGTGTGGCCAGCTCAGCCCACCAGGGGACGGGTCTGGCTGGCATGTGGTGCTGGGGATTGAACCGCGGTCCCTGTGCTTTGCCAAGCTTGTTTCAAGTAGGTGCTTTAGACCACTGAACCATCTCTCCAGCCCAATTCTATCATTTTTTATGCAGTTCTTTTGAACAAGAAATACCATGTACTTCTCTTTTTTATTAATTTTATCAAGAAAAAAATGCAATGAGACAGCTTCAAAACAGGTTGGTAGGAGAGTTGCAACAATTAATACGCTGCATATTGTCGTCTTTTTAATTTTATCACTGAACCATGAATCGATCATAAACTCTAGATCTGGCTACCTCAAAAACGCTCCATGGGGAACTACCCGCTTGGGCCCCCCTCCTGTCCCTCTCTTGGACAGGAGCTTTCTTTCTTGCAATAAATATATTCTGCTCATAACCTAAAAAAAAAAAAAAAAAAAAGCTCCATCTAAAAGTGCATGAGGTTTTGGCAGAAGGGACATCTAGACACAAATCACAACACAAAACAATTTGATAAAAATATTTTCTTCCATTTTATTGTCTTGCTATCATTTTAAAAATCCATTTGTAGGGCTGGGCAGATAGCTCCATGGTCTAAGCACCTACCTGGCACAAGGACCTGGGTTTGATACCAGATACCATATGCCATGCAGGCCCTGCACCATGCAGGCCACTGAAACTGGGCACAGTGGCATGAACACTGGGGAGGCTGAGATGGGTGGGTCACTATAAATCTAACCTGCATAGGGAGACCCTGTACCAAATAAATAAATAAATAATCTTTTTTAAAAATCAGTTTATAGAAGCAATTTGAAATGTAAAGGAAATCTTAAAATTTGTATTTCTGACATTATACAAGGATGAAACTGGGAAGCACAGCCTGTTCCCCCAGAGAATTGCAGAACCTAAGGAGCCTTAGCATTCCAATGCCTGGTGTAAATAAGTGTGGCTCAACCAGAGTGCATCTGGTCACACTTTGCTTGCATTCAAGTTCTCCAAAGGCTTATCACCTCAAGGACAGCTTGGCTCAGTCTCAGACAATGATTTATTCTTCCTGCTCACCGTAGCCTGGACCTCCTTGTTATATGATCGTAACCCCAATTAGCTTGAATAAGAGAAACTCTGCCTAGCAATGTATGACAAGAAACGTGTAAGCACTGTAGAATATTCTGTTATCTGTTTTTTGTACTTCCTCCTAAAATCCTAAATAGGTATCTGTTTTACTCCAAGACAGGGCTGGTGATTTGGCCCTCAGTATCCCCCAGCCTGTTAGCCTTCCCAAGTTCCCCAGGGCTGTGTCATCTCTCTGGTTTGATCCTGAGTTTCTCAGCAAGTTGGCCAAGCCATATATAATGCACATAATCTTAGAATTTCAGTGACTGAGGCAGAAGGGTGACAAGTTTGAACCCAGCCTGGGCAAATTAGCAATTTAGCAAAACCATATCTCAAAATAAAACATAAAAATGGGCAGAATTTGGGATTAAAATGAGGGGTATTTGCACTACAGAAGTCCTGCCAAAAATTCAGCTTACTCAAAGGTCGAGAGCTTGTTTCAGGCTTCCCAATTCTACTGGTTGCTCACTATGTGTATCTGGATGCCAGCATCCCACAGTGTTGATATTCCCAGGATTGTAGTCCTTTTATGGTGGGGTGGGGAGGATTGAAGAGAGACAGAGGACAAAGCAGAGAAATTCATGAAGAGAAATATTTTAGAAGAAAGTCTGGAGGAGAAAGGAGGATCACCAAAACCTTGAGGACAAGCGCAGGAGGAGAGGACAGGAAGGAAAGAATGAAGGGGGAAGAAAAAAAATATTAAGGCTAACCAGAAAGACTGGAGACAATGCACTTACTTGAAAATATCAATAAATCAAGAGGGAGTTGGGCAAAGAGAACAAAGATGAACAAAACAAAACAAACAATATAAATAAAAACATAAAAAAAAAAAAAACTAGCACCAACACCAACAAAAAATCAACCAGTCAGAAAAAGGAAAGTGAAACAAAGAAACAATGAAAAGAAAAAGTACTCCTCTGGTGTCCACGGTTCTGTGTTCGTGTCCGGCGAGGGCCTGCATGTGTGCTGGCTAACCGCACCAAGTCTGCAGTAGGGTGCAGGGCTCATCTTGGCCTGGAGCTGTGGCTGTGGCACCGTCCTCAGCCAGCAACTTCTGTGTGTCCCCCAGAGGTGCACTTGCGTCTCCTTACCCTGTTTGTCTCTGTGTCGCTCTCCCAGTTGCAGAGACGCGTGCAGACAGAGATGGCCTGAGGCACGTCTCTTCTCTCTCACTGCCTGTTGCAGAGGTGGAAGTGATGTTGGCAGTCTCACCATTCCTGCAACAGAGGAGACGTGCAAAGGCTGCTCACCCCCACTTCAGTCTCTTCGCAGTGGGGGGTCCCGACCCCCACTTGCTGTTCCACCTCAGCCCAAGGCTGCTGAAATCCACACAGTCAGCATCCCGCTCTCACACCACTGGTCTCCGGGCAGGAGGGGCCCTGCCGTCACTCACTTCCTTCACCACCACTGCTGCTGCAGTCCCTAATCGGATTGACGCTAGGGGTTCTAGTTAGCCACTTTGTAGTAATTTTGAAAATCAAGAAGTGTGGGACTGGGGAGATAGCTCAGCAAATAAAATGTGCATCCCTCAAATTTGTTCTTCCTTTATTGAGATTGTTTTGAGTTTTGAAATAAGATCACCTACATATGATTTAGGGGATTTCTTTATTAATTTCCACAAAAATATCACTTGGGGGCTGGTGAGCTAGCTCAGTGGACTAAGCACCTGCTTAGGCAAGTGCAGGCACCAGGGTTCGACCCCCGGCACCATATGCCATGCTGGCCCTGCCCCCAGGTGTGCTGAGCTGACCACCGAGACTGGGCATGGTGACACATGCCTATAATCCCAGACTGGGGAGGCTGAAACAGGAGAATCACTGAGTCCCAGCTGAATAGTGAACCCTGTACTAAATAATACATATATGCATATATATACACATATATAATTTATATTATATAGGGATTGCATTTAATCTATAGATTAATTTGTGGTGTATTGTAATTTTGTTTCTTTTTTTATTTTTATTTTTTGGCAGAACTGGGGATTGAACTCAAGCCCTTGCACTTGCCAGGGTAGTGCTTATTCCACAGAGCCATGCCCCTGGCCCTTATATTGTCATTATAATGTGGGGTTTTTTTTGCTCTGAATGCCTTCAGGGCAGGTTTGGTTGGCTTGAGTTGTGGGGATTGAACCACAGCAACCTGAGCCTGACTGCTTTGTTGAAGCAGCCACTTAAAGAACTGAACTAAGGGGCAGGCCCCCAGTCATTTTAATGTTAAGGCTTTTAACCTATGAACATACAATGCCTTTCCTTTAAGTTAGATTTTTTTTTTTTTTTTTTTTTTTTTTTTTTTTTTTTTTTTTTTTTTTTTTTTTTTTTTTTTTTTTTTGCAGAACCAGGGATTGAATTTAGGCCCTTGCCAGGCAAGCACTTATTCTACTGAGCTATCTTCCCGGACCTTAGATTTTCTTTTTTACATGCTTTTCTCTTTAGTTTTCAGAGTTTGTATCCTTTTTTTTCTCATTAAACTTAGTTTTGATGGGTCTCAAAGTTCTGTGACAAATTTTTGGTCAAGTTGTTTCCATTAAAACATATTGATTTTAAAAACTAATAACTTAAAAACTGCCACACACACACACACACACACACACACACACACACACAATGGTCCACAAAACATTTTCCTTTCCATCTGAAGTTTTTACAATACATTGCTATCATTGAACAGTCTTTCACTATTAAACTTAAATGGCCAATTGGGAGAAACAGTTCTGAGACTGGTCTTCCGCCACTGATTAAGGCTGGGGTGGCAGGTGTTAGAGATAACATTAGCCTTGCTGAGCTTTCTGGGCAGACTTGGTGACCTTGCCAGCTCCAGCAGCATTCTTGTCCACAGCTTTGATGACACCCATAGAAACTGTCTCATATCACGAACAGTGAAACAACCCAGAGGTAGATGGGGAAGCTCTTGACGCACGTGAGCATGCCTGGAACCACGTCAACAATGGCAGCACCACCAGATTTCAAAAACGTGGGCCTGTCTTCCAGCTTCTTACTGGACCAGCATTCAATGTTTTCTTTCAGCTCAGCAAATTTGCAAGCAATGTGAGCTGTGTGATAGTCCAGGACAGGGGCATAGCCAGCACTGATCTGGCTGGGATGGTTCAGGATTATCACCTAAGCAGTGAAACCAGCTGCTTCCACTGATGAGTCATTTTTGCTGTCACGTGCATCATTGCCACACAGACATCTTTGACAGATATGTTCTTGACGTTGAAGCCCACATTGTCCCCAGTAAGAGCTTCACTCAAAGCTTCATGGTGCATTTCAACAGACTTGACTTCAGTTGTGACACTGACTGCAGCAAAGGTGACCACCATGCCAGGTTTGAGAACACCAGTCTCTACTCAGCCCAGAGGGATAGTACCAATGACACCAATTTTGTAGACATCCTGGAAGGGCAGCCCCAAAGGCTTGTCAATTGGGCGAGTGGGTGGGAGGATGCAATCCAAAGCTTCAAGCAGTGTGGTTCCGCTGGCATTGCTATCTTTATGAGTGACCTTCCATCCTTTGAACCAAAGCATTTTAGCACTTGGCTCCAGCATGTTGTCACCATTCCAACCAGAAATTGGCACAAAAGCTACTGTGTCAGGGTTGTAGCCGATTTTCTTAATGTAGGTGCTGACTTCCTTAACAATTTTGTTGTGTTTCTTCTGGCTGTATGGTGGCTCTGTGGAATCCATTTTGTTAACTCCAACAATTAGTTGTTTCACACCCAGTGTGTAAGCCAGAAGGGCGTGCTCACGGGTCTGCCCATTTTGGAGATACCAGGTTTGAATTCACCAACCAGCAGCAACAATCAGTCAGCCTGAGATGTGCCTGTCATCATGTTTTTGATGAGTCTCTGTGTCCAGGGGCGTCAATGACGGTCACGTAATACTTGCCGGTCTCAAATTTCCACAGGGAGATGTCAATGGTGAGACCACGCTCACATTCACGCTCAGCTTTCAGCTTGCTCAAGACCCAGGCATACTTGAAGGAGCCCTTCCCCACCTCAGCAGCCTCCTTCTCAAATTTTTCAATGGCACTTTTGTTGGTGCCACTGCATTTGCAGATCACATGGTGGTGGACTTGCCAGAGTCCAGGTGTCCGATGATGACGATATTAATGTGAGTCTTTTCCTTTTCCATGTTGGCTTTGATTTAGTGGTGGTTTTCACTACACCTGTGCTCTCATGACAAACCTGTTGTGAAAAAGCCAGAGTTCATATTTCATACTTGTTTTGTTACCAATGCATTTCTTAATGCCTTAATGAGAAACTGTACTTTTGAATTGCCAAGGTCATATGATTAAGGCATGAACTAACGGAGCGTACAAAACAGATCCATTCAAACATTCTCTCTCCTTAGAATTTTAGACACTTTCCTTTACAATGCTCCTGTTGAAGGGTGGCATTTAAAATCACAATAGCCTCCTGTGGGAAATGCTAGCAATACAGATCTCAGACATTGTCCAAAGCTACTGAATGAGAATTTCAAACTGATTCATATGCAATTAGCCATCGCAATGCAATTCTATACAGTAGAAGAGGAAGGCAATAGGGCAGCATTCAACATCACTGACTATAAACTCCTGAATCCAAGCCTTAGCAGGCCAAATTAAGAAGTGGCTAATGTTTCTTTCAAATGCTTGAATCGACCTAGTAAATTTTAGAACTTGAGTAAGTCCATTCCAACAATTGTGCATATCAAAGCATTCTTCTTCTTACCCTTGTTTTTATTTTTTAAGGATCTACTCCTAAATATTCTGTTCCACATATTCTTCACAATCTGGGCTGTGATGAGATTTGCTTGCCATGGACTTTAGGACTCCTCTCATCAATCATTGTTGCTTCTAGACCCATAACTAGTCTCAAGTCTAGGAGATTGTGATGGGTGAGGTATAAAGTGTAACCCCTAAGGGAGTGTGTTACATAGCAAATGATCTTCTGAAGTTTTTCCAGTTAATCTAAACAGAAATGTAAGGGATGAGGACATGGCAGTGGTAGAGTTCTTGCTTCATATGCACAAGGCCCTGGGTTCAATCTCCAGAGAGAGAGAGAGAGAGAGAGAGAGAGAGAGAGAGAGAGAGATCTAGAGAATAGTGTGGAAGTGGATAAGTGGACCCTTGATGTCTCAGTTACTCTTCTCTCATTGCTAAGACAAAAATCCAACAGTCAAGGGCCAGGGAGATGGCTCAGTAGAATAAGCGCTTGCCTGGCAAGTGCAAGGGCCTGAGTTCAATCCCCAGTACCCCCCCCCAAAAAAAACAGTCAAACTTAGGGAAAAAAAAGGCATATTTAGCTCACAGTTACTGGAGATTTCAGTCCGTACTTAGCTGGCTCCAAGTCAGAGTGGCACATGGCAGAGAGAAACCTTTCATGGCAGTGGCAAAGAGCAAAAACAAAGTAGCAGCAACAACTGGATACAGAGAGCAAGTCTGTCTCCCCTAAGTTGCATTCAGGCTATCTATCCCATACTGAGTGTAATACTCTCATTCATGTTACCCTGATAACAAAACCAAAGAAGAACCCAACTAAGAAAAAGAACTATAAGCCAATCTCTCTAATGAATATAGATGCAGAAATCCTCAATAAGATACTGGTAAAATGAATATAGCAAATCATCAAGAAGATTACACACCATGACAAACTAGAATTCATCCTATGGATGCAGAGATGGTTCAAGAAATGTAAATCGGGGCCAGGGAGATGGCTCAGTAGGATAAGTGCTTGCCTGGCAAGCGCAAGGCTCTGAGTTCAATCCCCAGTTCCACAAAAAAAAAAAAGGAGAAAGAAATGTAAATCAATAAAAATAATACACCATATTAACAGAGCCAAATGCAAAAACAATATGATCATTTCAATACATGCAGAAAAAGCTTTTGACAAAGTCCAGCACACATTCATGGAAAAATACTATAGAAAATTGGAACATATGGACTTTATCTGTAATCTGATAAAAGCCATCTAGGACAAACCAACAGCCAACATCTTACTAAATTGAGAAGAATTGAAAGCTTTCACTCTAAACTCAGGAACAACACAAGGATTTCATTGTCTTCACTCTTATTAAACATATTTCTGGAAAATTTAACCAAAGAATTAGACAAGAGAGGGCTGGTGAGATGGCTCAGTGGTCTAAAGCACCTACTTAGAACAAGCTTAGCAAAGCACAGGGACCGCGGTTCAATCCCCAGCACCACATGCCAGCCAGCCCTGCCCCCTGGTGGGCTGAGCTGGCCACACACACACACACACACACACACACACACACATAAATAAATAAATAAATAAATAAATAAAATTTAAAAAAAAGAATTAGACAAGAGAAAGAAATAAAGTAAATAGGGTAGAAAGAGAAGTTACATTATCTTTATTTGCACATGACATGATATTCTACACAGAAGACCTGAAAAACTCCACTAAAAGACTTTTAGATTTAATAAGCAAATTCAGTACCATAGTTGGAAACAAAGTAAAGACTCAAAAATCAATAACCTTCCCTTACATGAATAAAACATTTCCTAAGAGAGAAATTAGGAAAACAACACCTTTCACAATAGCATGCAATAAAATAGAATACTTAGAAATCAATCTAATGAAGGAAGTAATGGAAGTCCATATTGAAAACTACAGTACTCTGAAAAAAGAAATCAAAGAAATATCAGAAAATGGAAAGATATCTCTTGCTCTTACATAGGAATAAACCAATGTGGTGATAATGTCCATTCTTCCAAAGCTGTTATACGGATTTAATGCAATTCTGATCCAAATTTCAACAGCATGTCTCACAGAAAACAATCCTAGAATACATTTGAAAAAAAAGAGACTTAAAATAATGTTGTCACATTCTCTGGCTTGAAATTATACTATAAAGCTGCTGTGATTTAAAAAAAAAATGCTAGCAAGATAGCTCAGTGGACAAGTGCCTGCTTAGGCAAGTGCAGGGACAGGGGTTTGATCCCCAGCACAACATGCTCTGCTGGCCCCACCTCCAGGCACTCTGAGCTGGCCACTAAAACTGGGGGTGGTGGTGCACACCTGTAGTCCCAGTTCTGGAAAGGCTGAAAACAAGAGGATCTCTATGAGTCTCAGCTACATAGTAAGACCTCATACAAAAATACATTAAAAGGAAAAAAAAAGTGTGGTACTGGAAAACAAAGAGATCCAAGGCTGAATGAAACATATTAGAAGATGCAGAAACAACTCCAGACATACTCAGCCACTTGATCTTTGAGAAAGTTGCCAAATACATTCATTGAAACAGCCTCTTAAAGTAATGCTGGAAAAACTGGCTTTGCACATTCCACTGGTTAAGATTGGGCCCATATCTTTTACTATGCCTGAAGCCAAAGTTGAAATGGGTCAAAGATCTTAATATTACAACAGAAATATTAAATCGCTTGGAAAATAGAACAGGTAAAACTTTTGGAGTAGGCAGGGTTTATAAAAAACAACAATAACAACAGCAAATGATCACATTAGAACTATAACAAAAAAATCAACAACTGTGCTCTCATCTCATTAAAATCTTTTGGATGAGGAGATGGCTCAGTAGAATAAGTACTTCCCTGGCAAGCACAAGGGCCTGAGCTCAATCCCCAGTTCCACAAAAAAAAAAAAAAAAAAAAAAAAAATCCTTGCACAGCAAGGAAAATCACTAACAGAGTAAAGAAATAACTCTCAATGTGGGAGAAAAGTTTGCCAGTTGTTCTTCAGAAAAAAAATTACTATCAAGAGCATATAAAGAAAAGAAAAAAAAAAAAGGAGCATATAAAGAACTAAAAATTATCAGAGTTCCCAAATTTAAATACCCTATCCAAAAACAGGCATATGCAATGAGTAAGCACTTCTCAAATGAAGTATAAACAGCAAAGAAATATGTAAGAAAACATTCAACATCATAGTCATTCAAGCGATGCAAATTAAAACAATACTTACTCCAGAGTGAATGGCTTCTATGAAGAAAACAACCAATAATAAATGTTGGTAAGGGTGTGGAGGAAAAGGAACCCTTCTCCACTGTTGGTGGAAGTATAGACTGGTACAACCACTGTGGGAATCAGTGTAAAGATTTCTCAGAAAAGTAGGACCAGAGGTTCTGTTTGACCCAGCCATTCATCTCCTGGATATCTTCCCAAAGGAATTAAAAGCATCATATTACAATGATATATGTATGCCT